GTGAGGAGTCTCCCTTTGGATTAGTTTGTTAATTGTTTTTCTTTGGAATCCGTTGGAGATTAATACATTTGTGAGAGTGTGTAATTCAGTTTTCAGATGATCTTTGTCGGCTAAGCGTTTGGTTCTGGAGATGAGGGTCTTGGCTACAGAGTTGATCTGTGCAGGGTGGTGATGGGATTGTGCATTTAAGTAGCAGTTGGTGTGTGGTTTTTTCCGGTAGATGGTATGTCCTAGGGAGCCATTGGGTTTTTTGTAGATTAGGACGTCCAGAAAGGGAAGTTGGTTGATGCTTCAATTCACTATGGAAATAGAAGTATTTATATAAATAAAAGTAAATATATATATATAAAGGAGAGGAGAAAGCAATTAAATCAATGACAGGCAGTTTAAACAGAAACTATTTAAATTAATGATTCAAAGTACCATAGTCTAGTCAAACCTTAAATATTATCTATACTTTAAAAAGTTCACATTGACTTAATTTGCATAAAATGGAAAATGCCTAATGGCGTAATGCAATAAATTAGAAGAGGTGTAATAAAAACTTTAAAACAATTGTTTCCCAAATAATAAAGAATGGGGAAATGAAGAATTCAAATGCAGTTCACAGATTGTTAATGATTTCACTGGTAGTTGTTACAGTATAATGTTATTTCTGTAGCAGCTGTTCTTATTTCATTTAAAATTCCATAACCTTTTAGATTGTAACCTGCAGGCTGAACCAAAGTATTGTTTTGCAGCTTGTGGCAAAAACTAAATGCTAATTGAACCACATCTATCACGATTCTAGTTGGTGTTCTTTCATGTTTTCCAGATGCATAGAAATAGATACCTGTTGTTTATGTCAAACAATCTATGTTTACCCATTTCCCAATATATTTTACGAAATATGTTAAGGTCTATTAATAAAAGGAGATGGTAATGGTAAAGGAAAAAAAAATGCAATTGTGTTTTTAAAAAGGCTTAAAGAAATAATCTGGCATAGTTTTTAATAAAAGTGAAGGAAATATATGGTATGCCTACTGTTAATGAGCTTTTTATACAATATGCTAGCTGTTCATAATACAAGTAATAAATACTGTTTCTGATATGGTACAAAGCTATATAAAATGTTTAATTAGTACATGTAACAAATGTTTTAGCTTTGATCCCTTAGGGTATCAACACATACTCATATTTTTCAAATCAAATTTAAATGGCATTTTAAAAACTGAAAACCAGCAAACTTCAGAATAAGCTTTTATTTATTTATGTGCTTGAAGTCTTGGGTGTATGCATAGTATATTATATGCTACAATAAGTAGTACAATAAACTAGTAATATTAGACAATACAAAAGTCTTTCAAACATTTTTTGAGGTTCAAAATCTATAAAGGAATAACAACTATGAACTGAAAATTAAGCTGTCTTCATTTGTCCATATAGTATGCTACAACATTAAAAAAAAACAGATTTACAAATAGTATTTATTTCTCCTAGATGAGATCAACTGGCCTGAAAAGGATGAAGCACCACCTCCAGATGCCCAAGATTTGATTGCTTTGCTTCTGAGACAAAACCCTTTGGAGAGATTAGGAACAGGTTAGAAAACTTTGCTTTTATTTTACTGCATGCTAGAAGTATTATCTCTTTGTCTGCTGTGTGTTTGATCTTTTTGTTTCTACTTAATAATTACCTGTCTCTGGCTGTAGTTTAAAAACATATTTCTTGGTTCTTTTTGTTTTGCCAACCTAAACAATAACTAAGCTGGCATTGAATCTAACTACACGTTCTAAATTCTTCTCATTTTCTAATCTATTCTTACTATTTTTTTTATTTATTTGTATCTTGCCTTTATTATTTTTACAAATAGCTAAAAGCCAGAAACATATATAATATTCCTTCCTCCTCCTATTTTTCCTCACAATAGATCAATAAAATGCTGGTCCTCACTAGTTAAACAATTTGGCATTATGGTAAAGATTGTAGAGGATGCCGAATTGATTAATTCCTGAGAGACTTGCAAATAACCTGGAATGGTTTATCTAGATAATACACTAGTACTTCACAAATACACTTTTAAAAAAACTATCATGTTTGCCATGACAATTAGAACCCCAACATTTTGATGGGATCTCTTCAATCATAAAATTGGTCACACATGTTTTGAAGCAGTCCACCAATTATTTCTCCCTCTCCCTCCTAATACTTAAAACGTTCATTACAGTTGGGGGACTCAAGTTGTAGACTAATAAAAGTCTCATTATGTTTATTTCTTTGTCTATTTGTACCTTCAAATTAACCCATACAGTTTATTATCTCTCTGTCTGCTGTGCAGACACAACTCTGTCTGGTGGTGCAGTGGTTAGATTGCAGTACTGCAGGCTACTTCTGCTGACTGCCGGCTGCCTGCAATTTGGCAGTTCAAATCTCACCAGGCTCAAGGTTGACTCAGCCTTCCATCCTTCCGAGGTGGGTAAAATGAGGAGCCAGATTGTAGGGGGAAATATGCTGACTCTGTAAACCGCTTAGAGAGGGCTGTAAACTAATTTCGTTGTATTTAAGTACAATGACAATAAAGATTATACTTACTTACTTATAAAGCACTATAAAGCAGTATATAATTCTAAATGCTATTGCTAATGCTATTATACTGCAGCAATTTTGAATCAATGTACCATATTTTTGGACTATAACATGCACCTAGATTTTGAAGAGAAAAACAAGGAAAAAAAGGTTTTGTCCTCCACACGTCTGGGTTTCCCCCTCCCTGGCCCCCAGGAGCACTCTGCAGGCCTCCCAAACACTCTGTGCATTTCGTTTCCACCAAAAATTAGTCTATTTTTGGTGAAAACAGGACATGGGGGAGGTTGGGAGGCCAAAAACAGGGCCGAGGAGGAAAAGTGTGTCTTATATTCAAAAAATACAGTACCTAAAATCTACTAACTTTAAAAATATGTAAAAAATCCGGAACCCATTATACCTGTGAAATTAAAATTTTCATTATGTTCAGACCAAGTTTATTTGCAAAAGGGTTTGGGGTGTTGCACCATCCCCACAATCATATGATTTCCCAATGTTCCCTGTCATTTCCCACAAGCAAAATCAATGACAGAAATTAGAAGTCACTTCAACTGTCACTGCTTTTGTCCCCATTTGTGGTAATTCTGTTTACCTGTTTAGGTAAGTACATATCAACTTATTTTTGAAGTTCATTTGCCACTACAATTATATTTATATTTATGATATATACTCTTCCCAGATGATTACAGAACCATCCAACATTGGACTGAAAAATAGAAATATGGTCATCCTACAATTAAATGTTTATTTTGGTCATCGCAGAGACCGTGCTAGCTTTCTCTCACAGTATGACCCCAGAGGCCACAGGGAATTCTGCGAAAGATATAAAATTGCTCTTAAAATCTAGCCTATATTTACTAAACGTACCAAATTTAAAGAATTTTTACAATTTTCTCCTCTCCAATAAAAAGAAGGTAAAGAGGCAAATCTTTATTTTATACTTCTACATGAGGGATTGAAAATCTATATCACTATGTTTCTGCCTAAGCTACAATAGCAACCATCATTCACTATTGACAATGCTGCTTTGGAATTCTGGAAATTGTAGTTTGCTGCAACTGGAAGTAATGGAAGATGAGGGAGGTGTCATTAGTTTTCAGTGGAAAATGGAATTTCTTATGCTTCAAAGCTCTGCTTCATTAACCATGAATGTAGAATTGTTTGCAAATGATAATATGTCACTGAAAAAATATTTACTTTCTATAAATATTTAGACTACTCTGAGAAATTGTACAGTGTACAATACACTGTCAAATGCTTTACATGCTGGCAAAGATTATTTACTTATCAAATTTGAGTATTGTGGGGAAAAAAATTTAGGCAAAAATGCAAGTAGAACCTTGAAAAATATTTTTTTAAAACCTACAAGGAATCCATTGTTTTAATAAATATTTGCTTTCTGCTGATTTATAAATAAGCTTCCTTTAATATTACATCCGAGTTTTGGGTCTAATAGAAAATTATTATATACTGCTTAACAACTTAAAAATGCACTAATAGTTAATGGGCATATTGTACTTTCTTTGGTGTTCTTTTTCCAAATATAAACATTTCTCATTAGTTATGAAAAGAGGTGGCATGATAAACCTGCAGCTCTTCTAATCTTTATCTGTAAATCTGAAAGGTAATTCATTTTTAAAAGTATAAACAATTTATTTGTATATATAATCTGCAACAGTTTTCTCTTGCTCCCCCAGGTGGTACTTATGAAGTGAAACAACACCAGTTCTTTCAAAACTTAGATTGGAATAGTTTGCTGAGACAAAAAGCGGAATTCATTCCTCAGCTGGAATCTGAAGATGACACAAGCTACTTTGACAGTATGTCTACTTTGATAGAGATATACCAAATATCCATATATTAGCCATAAGACGAGATGAGGTGGCTGTGGAGCTGCCCCACATACTCTGCACTGGCTTAACTGAGGGCCCACGCAGCAAAGCCATCCATGCCCTGATACCTGCCTCGTGGCAGCAGACCCAGCAGCCATGTGCAGCAGGGCCCACGTGGCTTCTGGCCCATTTCTTTTGCTTGCTCGCAGCTGCAATGGAGCAGGACATCAAGTGGTGTGTTGGTGCCGCAACCGTGAGGTGAGGCAGGTGTTGGGTCGTGGATAGCCTGGCTGCGGGGGAGCCTGAGGTAAGTCGGTGCAGAAGCTCCAGCCCCTCTCCCTGCCTCGCAGTGGCAGCACTGATAGGCCACTCAGCCTCCTCCTCCGCCATAAACAAGCAGAAGTGATGGACCTCCTGCACATGAAAAAAACAAGACACCCCCTAAAAATAAGCCCTAGTGCTTATTTTGGGGCCCAAAAGAAAATAAGACCTGGTCTTATTTTCAGGGAAACTGTGTTTGTGTGTGTGTGTGTGTGTGTGTGTGTGTGTGTGTGTGTGTGTGTCTCATCTATTTATCTATCTTGTTTCATAGCTCGTTCCGAGAAGTATCATCATATGGAGACAGAAGAAGAAGAAGAAGAAGATACAAATGATGAAGATTTTAATTTGGAGATAAGGCAGTTTTCTTCATGTTCACATCGATTTTCAAAAGTTAGTACTTAAATATTGTGCATGCAAATATACATAGCACAAAATGTAATTATAAATGATTACAAAATCATTTGCATATAAATTTAAGGGTTTGGTATGTTAATATGGGTGAGGAACTCATGGCACACAAACCACTTGTCATTTTCAGTAGCCACCTGTGAATATACAGGGCAATAAAATTCTGTTCCCAGCAGCTTAAGGAATCAGTAAGATGCCAATATGATTACCATGAAGTGTATTTTTCTTCGACTGAATGAAGCTGTTGAGGAGGAGGGTTTAAAGTAAAGTTTACAGTGAGTTTGCAATTGATGTGGAATTGCAATAAACTTGATATCCTACTATAGTACCCTCTTGGATTATTGTGAATAAATTCAATCAGAGGGACTGCCCTATTTCCAAATTCTTTTTGCCAACAACATTCAATTATTATATTTAAAAAATATAAGTGTGTGTTTCTCTAATCCAAACATTACCATATTTTTTTTTAATTTTCCCTCCAAAAGATTTCCATTTGTTTTTCAATTGAATTGTCAGCTTATATGTTAAAGGTGTAAAAACTCTAAAATGCTTTATCTTGGCCTGATTGTTTTACACCACAAAAACCTGGCATTTTAATAGGGGTATGTAGACTTTTTATATCCATTGTGTGTTCTGCTTGTATTCAAGACGGTTGCAGTTGGGGGAGGAATGGGAAAGGAAAACCATGGGAAAATCAGCAGGCAAGTTGGTACACAGGAATGCAAGAAACAGGAAAGATGAAGGAGCAGGAGCTTTGCACTACTCACCTGTTCTGAGTTTCTTCTTTGCCAAAACCAGAAACAACCAAAATAATCTGGATTTCACTTTGACTGAATGTACTGTGAGCTACTTAGAATGATCCAGACAAACCCCGCGATGTATTTCTTCCTTGTATGAAAGTAAACTTAGATTGTACACACTTTCATTTGAAGTATTTGAAGGATATGACATACTTTTCTGAAGTTGTGTTTGATACAAGTAATGATTAACTTTTCATTATTTTGTCCTCATCCCCAACCCCCGCACACAGGTTTTTAGTAATATAGATCGAGTCACTATTCAGACTGAAGAAAAGGAGAATATAGTAGAAGGAACAACAAATGCGACACTAACATCTTCAGAATCTTCATGCTGGAGCTCAGAATATTCTGATATGTAAGTAATATTAATAATATTCGATTACTGTGTTACATTTGAGAACTTACGTATACTTAGTGTGTGTTGACATGTGATATCATTTTAAATATAGGCAACAGATATCTACATCAGTTTCTTCAGATACTGAAAGTGTTAAGCAGCGCCACAGTTCAGGGTTACTTCCAAAATTAGCTATATCAGCTGAAGGAGATTCAGAGGAATTACTGTGTTCTGTTGGATCTCATAAACTTCAAGAAAAGACTGTGTTTATAAGTGAAGAAACTGTTCAAGATGAAGTAGAGGTAACAACTCCAGCAAGCACAATTAGTAATTCCACACTCTCAGGTATGATGCATAATTGATGCATAATATATAGAAATGCCTTTTCTTAGGTCTACCTATTGAGCGGGCTATAAGAACAAGTTATCTTGAATTTTTCAACTGCTCAGGGGTTTGAAATGGGTCACTCAGATGAGCACATTGGATTGTTTTCTTTATATCACAACATATAGGGAACGAACGCAACTTTCTTTTACCTCTTGCCCCTCTTGGTTTAGTTATAAGAAGGTACTTACGTCAACTTTTTAAAAGAATATTTGTAACAGTAGTAAAATCTATTAAAATAACAAAGAACTAACATTTTCTATATTCTGCTGTTCATTGTACTCCTCAACCTTTCCTTAACATCTACTTTTAATGAAGAAGAAAAAAAAATCTAATGTGATTCATAGTGACAAGGTCATGGTCTCATCCTGAGAGATATAAGGATTTATAACTCTTGTAAGCATCAATTGACCAAGACACAATCCTTTGATACTAATAGAAAAAAAAATGTAGCCCATGGTTGAACTGTGGGGTCCTTGGTGCTTTCTGAGCTTGATTGTTTGTAGTCATATCATTACTTGTCTGAAGGCTGAAGCCCTGATCTAGCACTGAAGATGTTACTTAGACTGGTAATAAAATGTCTACAGCAAACAGCCAAGGTCTGAGAGCATGAAGGACTTTTCAATCTTTTGATTCGATATGTACATATTGTTTAATAAGTACAGAATTCAAGCCAGCTATATATCTACTTGTTATGTTAGGTAATCCTTATTTGTCTAGTTTGCTGAGTAAAATATCATGGAGGGTACTAGCATAAATGCTTTGCTGTAATCACGATATATCTATACAGTAGCATTCCTATAATCTGTTAATAAAGTTATCTAATAAAAAGCGTATATGAAGTCCAAGGGACATGTTTGACTACACTCAGCTTAGTTTAATTTAAAGTCAGAAGCTCCAGCATTAGATGATCACTTTTCTCCAATGTTTTGACTACTGAAGCTTTCTCACCAGTTTTCTATATTGATACAATATTCTATAATACTCTGCCTAAAATGGTATGTTATAATCATATAGAAATAATCAGCTTTGGTCTGATAATCTTCTGAAATCTCCTCATTCATAGGAGCTCTAACTTTTTTTCTTTTGGTTTTATCCTATAAATATTAATGGAGATTCTCAATCAATCAAGTCATGGATGTACCGATGGTGCTTTTTCCAAAAGGCAACCAAAGTTTCTTATTTTTTTCCCTCTGAAAATGTTTCACTTCAGAACTGAAGAAGCTTTTTGGATAAGAGAAATATTTTCAAAGAAAAAAAAGTCAAATTGTCTTAGAAAAAGCACTTTTGGTATGTTTTATGTTGTATTTCAAAAATTGTAGCTGACAGCAAGCTAACCCAACAACTTTAAGCAGGGTTGTGAAAATTACACCAATTATTAAAGTAAGAAAAACATGGAAAGTTTAGTGCAAGGAAGGACAAAGAAACTGATATTAATGCTTGGTCCTTATCCCAAAATGATGATTAATAACTGTGCAGGTGCTTGTTCTAGAATTTTATTGCATGAGATTGTACCAGAAAAATAAATCCTTATGTTACTGCTTGACGTCCTCCCAAATCTTGATTTAATGTGTTGATTCTTTTACTTTGTGCAGCCGGTAGCTTTTCAGAGCACATGGATCAGATAAACGGAAGAAATGAAAGTGTGGACAGCACAGATAATTTCTCAAAGCCATCTACTGAACAAGCATCTCATATGGCTCGTCAGCGATTAGAAACTACAGAAAAAAAGAAAATACCTGGAAAGGTTACAAAGTCTCTCTCGGCCAGTGCTCTGTCCCTTATGATTCCAGGAGGTAGATACTGTTTACAATGATGAAATTGATCCTTTTTTTCCTCTTTAAGCAATGCATCTTCAATCAAACCTTTCTTGTGTTAAAATGAGTCATGCTTTTTAAAGGTTTTGCATGGTGTGTACACTGAATCTTTACTAATAATTATTTCCTATGCATCATATTAAAAGGGGCACAGTGGCTCAGTGGCTTAGACACTGAGCTTGTCGATCAGAAAGGTCGGCAGTTCGAATCCCTTGTGTCGCATAACCAAGTGAGCTCCAGTTACTTATCCTTGCTTCTGCCAACCTAGCAGTTCGAAAGCGCATAAAAATGCAAGTAGAAAAATAGGAAATAATTATTAGNATAGATAGATAGATAGATAGATAGATAGATAGATAGATAGATAGATAGATAGATAGATAGATAGATAGATGGTATTCAGCTGGTTCGGACTGGTTTGGCCAAACCGATAGCAGAAATCGCAGGTGGACCCACCCAGGCACCCGGTTCTATGCCATCCCATTTAGGCATGTTTTTGAGGACAGACACATGCAGAAGGCGCATGAGTGAGCAAAGCACACGTGTGGGAGGCTGGGCGCATGCACAGAAGGTGCGCATGAAGTAGGGGGGGCAGCGAACCGGTAGTAACAACATGTGCAATCCACCACTGGGCAGATAGATAACTTTAGATCTTGATAAAGGAAAGAATGACTAAAAACATTATTTTAATGACTCGAAGTTAGCAACGAAAGGCCATCCTAATTTCTAAGGAAATAGTTTGATTATACTTTGAGAATTCCTGGCTTAAAATAAGTAGACAAACAAGACGAACAAGGGCTGATGTTTATTGTCAATCACTCCACCAGGCAGAAGTTAAATGCTTTCCAAAATCAATTTGTAACTCAAGAAGACACGGAACAACAAGGTCTTTAATTACCTTCGACATCTGCTGGGAGATGCACTCAGCTAAGCATGAGCTCTGCAGGTGATTCTGAATATGAGTTGCTAACAACGGTATGCTTCAGAAAGCAAAGCCAGGCACAAGAGAAACACAAGTCCTTGATTTGATATTAATCAGTAGGGAAGAGTACATTGGAAGTTCCAGAAATGTCACAGAGAAACGACTATGTAATTCTGGAATTCTAGAAGTTAAAGAAAACTGAACCAGACTGAACTAAACCAAATGCACACCCTGGACTTCAAGCAATCAGCTTTTAATAATTTCAAAATGAAGGATTCCATGGCATGAGCGCCTGATGGGAAATAGGGGTGCGCATTCCTTTAAAACCGACAGACTAAAGCAATTTAAAGGAGCAATTCAAATCTGTAAAAAAATAAGCCACTATTATGTCTACAAAAAACTTGATGGCAAACTGAAAATTAAAAGGACAAAGGCAAGACATGAAAGGAAGGACAGGCTATTAAGTAACTACAAATAAGTAAGTTGTCAGAAAAGCCAAAAGGACTAAATATATTCTGAATAAATGAAAGAACAGAGTGTTAAGAGATGACTCCAACCCTCTGACATTTAACAATGAAAATATTTAACTCTTATTTTGTCTGTTTTCTCCTGAAATACTTTATGTGTTCCACCATGCAGTTATAAGGAACAAGATGAAAGGACACATTTGAAGTCCTAAGTTAACAGAAACATGGTCAGGGAAAACGGATATATTTTCAATATTGCTAACCAGTGATTAGCAATAGCATTTAGACTTCAGAGGTGATATTCAGCAGGTTCTGACCAGTTCTGGAGAACCGGTAGTGGAAATTTTGAGTAGTTCGGAGAAC